TAATCAAATCTAATATGTATAATAGTCATAATAATCATTATAATAATAATAGTAATCATAATAGTAATAATAATAACAATCATAATAATCATAGTAACTGAATAACAATTATCATCACCTTATTAATCATTAAAATTATAACTCATAACAATAATAATAATAATGATAAAAATAATAACAATAACAATAATAATAACAATAACAATAACAGTAACAGTAACAATAACAACATAGGCATAGGAGCCGGGGGGCTGGAGGGGGCTGCATCCCCCCCAGTCGGGTAAATGTTGGTTGAATTCGGGCAATTTTGGGCAGGGGCGTAGATTCTCATTTTTGATTATTTTGAACATAACATAAGGCCACTAGAACTAAACGAAACAGAAAACCATCGTTATTTTTCCAACAAGTGCAGAAATTTTCTGACGAAATGGCAGTTTAGCCTTAGAGATAGGTTCCCCCCCCGACCCCCTCTACGCCACTGGTGGCATTCATCACAAATTTTCTGGCAGGTGAAATTTCTCTTTCTCTTTCACTCGGGCAGAAAATTTGCAGCCCATCCTAAATTTTAAATGCCCCTACACCGATAAATAACAATAATAATAATAACAATCACAATAATAATAATAATAATAATAATAATAACAATAACAATAAAAATAACGATAATAATAATAATAACAATAACAATGATAATAATAACAACTACAACAATAACAATAATAATAATAATAATAATAATAATAATAAAAACGATGATGATAATAATAATAATGATAATAATAATAATAATAATAATAATAATAATAATCTGAAATACTAATATCTGATTACAATGCTATTTTCTGTTTTGTCCAAGAGAGCCTAATAACTAAAAAAAAAAATATTTTCAATAAGAATAATTCATGAAACAAAAATAGGTAATTTTTACGATAAACATTGACCCATGTAAATAGTTTTTAGCTATCTTTTTGAACAGTGTATCTAGAGTCCTCAACAACCACTGATCAGGATTTTAAGAATAATCCAATAAAAGCTTTAATATAAAATACAAACCTTTAGTTTCAAAAATGGTGCGTACATACTGCCCTTCTGGTGAGAACACTTGTATTCTGGAATCTGCAACAATTACTTCATTCTCTGGTCCAGTACACAATGCAGCTATTGATCCCAACTGGCCTGGTTTGTTTCCTTTAACCCCCCATCTTCTCACTAATTTCCCTCCTGGGAGGAAGACAAATATTGAGTTGGCCGCATTATCTGCAACTAGAATCTCTCCATCACAGTTTACAGCAAGGGTTGTAGGTTCTTTTAACTGGTCGTGGGTAAATTGTGACAGAAGCTGGCCTGAAGACGTGACTTCTGTGATAGTCTTTTTTCTCCAGTTGACAAAGGCAAGCGAGCTACTGGGTGTCCTCGTTATACCTGTGACACTTCTACCTTCTAGGGCATCCCCTACAATATGCTGCACTTCCTTCAGCTGCGGACTCAAAACCTTGATTCTAGAATTCCCAGTATCAGCTACATACATATATTCATTGTCATCAATGCAGATCCCCACAGGCTGCAGAAACTGGTCTTTCCCAGAGCCACGGGACCCATAAACAATATCTGGATTGTGTTCATCTAAGACCTCGACAATGAGAGGGCTCTCCTTTATAGGCCTGCCAAATATCTTCACTGCCACACTATGGTTCCCCCCATTTTCTGGAGTGAAAAAGACAGAATATGTGCCATCTTCATTATCTTCAATCTGGCTGTCAATCAGATCTCCACCCTCCGACTTGACTTCCGACTCCAATGGATCACCTCCAGTTGTCTGGCTTTCTCCATCATAGTCCACAGTGTAGACCACTACCTCACTCCTTAGGTGAGTCATGGCTTTCTTGGCCTTCATGAAACACAAGCTTGGGAATGTCTTGCTGGTCATCACCCTGCCATAGTCTTCTATGGTAGTCTGGATATGTTCAAATGCCTCATTGTGCTGACTCTCAAAACGAAGAAAAGCATTCTCCCGTGGCTCAACGAGTGTTGAAAGCGAGTCTATTTTTGTATTTAAATGGGCAATTTTTTTTGTTATATTCCGGACTTCAACTTGATACTGAAGGCCTTCACATTCTTGCTGGACTTTGCGTCTTTCACTTTCAATGATGTCAAGTTGGTCCTGAAAGTACAAAAAATTAATTTACTTATACAGTTCTTTAGACAAAATAACCTGTGCCTTAACTTACAAAAGTTAAGGCATGATAGCTTAACTGGAAATATCAGCAGAGTTCATTCATTGCTACCATGCATCCAAATCCTAGTCAGAAACCTATTCTCCCCATCATCTCTACTAGATGTAATGTATAAAAAATTGCCTTTCTGCTTCAGGATATAAACAGTGCTGTTTTCATGCTTTGCAGATTTACCATGATACGTATTCTACCCTGCTCCAATGAGTGTCTCTGGTTTCATCAACTCCGAAGTTGTTCTTTTCACAATTTTAATGTAATTGCTGCATGTCTTTTAGTTATTCTTCATCTCTACTTTTCTAAAGCCGAGTGAACTTTGTTCTTTGTTAATATTTTTGGTGTGTCCCTAGTGTTGCATTCTTACGCTCCTCTCTCCTTCTGCTTCTCTACCTATCTATTCTTTTTACTCCTTTCTTACTTAGAAGCCTGGGAGTGCTGTGGGTAAGTGTGTGTGTGGCTCTCATCTTTTAATGTTTATTTCCACTAGTTGGATATGCTCAGTCACTTAATTTTCTATACATCTGCCCCTTTTCTGGCTCTTATAGTTGCAGTAGATGTCCCTTGCACTTCAACTGGTCCACAACAAACTAGCAGGGGCAAACAATGCAAACAGCACAAAGAACTAAAAAAGAAATAGGAGAAGGAGAAGGAGGAGAAAAACACAGTCACCAATGCCAAGGCTCACCCCATCCCATTTGTGCATAATCAGTGTTCCAGTGGCCTTATGCACTGTTTTTTTTTTTTACAGTTTTGGAACTTACTGCTGACCTTGGGGAGTGGCTTGTTGGCAGCATATTTCCATGGGAAATAGCTTTTTCAATCAAACAAGTTGCAATAGTTAGTCATATTCAACAAAGATATCCAAAATGGGACAAATTTGGACGTTTTGAATTTGTAATTCACTCTATTAACCCCTTGCCGACAGGCATGGCATGTACATACATGCCATGCCCATTGTGAGTTTACTTGTTTAATTGTTTTAACACATAGATGGCTACACTTCAAGGAAAGGTGAAATCCTTTATGGCTAAGCACTAGCAGAGCCATCTAATAACAGGGACATTTCACAAAAATATAAAAAATGAGCACAGAATTTCCCCCATTTTTTATTCATTTTCCCCGTCAGGAAAGGGTTAACCTTTCTGGTGATTACAACTTCCCACATTTTCCCGTTGCTCTCCACAATGGTGCATCACATAGGAAAAGGTATATGATGATGATGATGATGATGATGATGATGATGATGATGATGATGATGATGATGATGATGATGATGATGATGATGATGATGATGATGATGATGATGATGATGATGATGATGATGATGATGATGATGATGATGATGATGATGATGATGATGATGATGATGATGATGATGATGATGATGATGATGATGATGATGATGATGATGATGATGATGATGATGATGATGATGATGATGATGATGATGATGATGATGATGATGATGATGATGATGATGATGATGATGATGATGATGATGATGATGATGATGATGATGATGATGATGATGATGATGATGATGATGATGATGATGATGATGATGATGATGATGATGATGATGATGATGATGATGATGATGATGATGATGATGATGATGATGATGATGATGATGATGATGATGATGATGATGATGATGATGATGATGATGATGATGATGATGATGATGATGATGATGATGATGATGATGATGATGATGATGATGATGATGATGATGATGATGATGATGATGATGATGATGATGATGATGATGATGATGATGATGATGATGATGATGATGATGATGATGATGATGATGATGATGATGATGATGATGATGATGATGATGATGATGATGATGATGATGATGATGATGATGATGATGATGATGATGATGATGATGATGATGATGATGATGATGATGATGATGATGATGATGATGATGATGATGATGATGATGATGATGATGATGATGATGATGATGATGATGATGATGATGATGATGATGATGATGATGATGATGATGATGATGATGATGATGATGATGATGATGATGATGATGATGATGATGATGATGATGATGATGATGATGATGATGATGATGATGATGATGATGATGATGATGATGATGATGATGATGATGATGATGATGATGATGATGATGATGATGATGATGATGATGATGATGATGATGATGATGATGATGATGATGATGATGATGATGATGATGATGATGATGATGATGATGATGATGATGATGATGATGATGATGATGATGATGATGATGATGATGATGATGATGATGATGATGATGATGATGATGATGATGATGATGATGATGATGATGATGATGATGATGATGATGATGATGATGATGATGATGATGATGATGATGATGATGATGATGATGATGATGATGATGATGATGATGATGATGATGATGATGATGATGATGATGATGATGATGATGATGATGATGATGATGATGATGATGATGATGATGATGATGATGATGATGATGATGATGATGATGATGATGATGATGATGATGATGATGATGATGATGATGATGATGATGATGATGATGATGATGATGATGATGATGATGATGATGATGATGATGATGATGATGATGATGATGATGATGATGATGATGATGATGATGATGATGATGATGATGATGATGATGATGATGATGATGATGATGATGATGATGATGATGATGATGATGATGATGATGATGATGATGATGATGATGATGATGATGATGATGATGATGATGATGATGATGATGATGATGATGATGATGATGATGATGATGATGATGATGATGATGATGATGATGATGATGATGATGATGATGATGATGATGATGATGATGATGATGATGATGATGATGATGATGATGATGATGATGATGATGATGATGATGATGATGATGATGATGATGATGATGATGATGATGATGATGATGATGATGATGATGATGATGATGATGATGATGATGATGATGATGATGATGATGATGATGATGATGATGATGATGATGATGATGATGATGATGATGATGATGATGATGATGATGATGATGATGATGATGATGATGATGATGATGATGATGATGATGATGATGATGATGATGATGATGATGATGATGATGATGATGATGATGATGATGATGATGATGATGATGATGATGATGATGATGATGATGATGATGATGATGATGATGATGATGATGATGATGATGATGATGATGATGATGATGATGATGATGATGATGATGATGATGATGATGATGATGATGATGATGATGATGATGATGATGATGATGATGATGATGATGATGATGATGATGATGATGATGATGATGATGATGATGATGATGATGATGATGATGATGATGATGATGATGATGATGATGATGATGATGATGATGATGATGATGATGATGATGATGATGATGATGATGATGATGATGATGATGATGATGATGATGATGATGATGATGATGATGATGATGATGATGATGATGATGATGATGATGATGATGATGATGATGATGATGATGATGATGATGATGATGATGATGATGATGATGATGATGATGATGATGATGATGATGATGATGATGATGATGATGATGATGATGATGATGATGATGATGATGATGATGATGATGATGATGATGATGATGATGATGATGATGATGATGATGATGATGATGATGATGATGATGATGATGATGATGATGATGATGATGATGATGATGATGATGATGATGATGATGATGATGTAGAAATTAAAATTTGCATAAACAAGCCTGGAACTGGTATAAAAACACACACACACACACAAATCCTCAACTTAAAGCCTGCAAATGAAATGGAGTTTATGTTACGGCTGTATCACTGTATATAATCTCATATTTCATTAAAATAAGATTTGCAAAAATCAATAATTTTTATCTATTTAATCCTTCAATAAAACCACATTCAATATCTTACACAGAGTGTAACAAACCTTATTTAATAAATTGAAATGAACGCTGATGTACATAATCAGGCTACGACAGGTTCAATCTAGGAACTAAAATGCATATCAGGCAAGCTCAGTCAGTTGCACATACAGAGTGAAGGTCAAGTGAACCTCATAATCTCCTAACCTACTAATTTCAGGTTTAAATGTCAAAGTAAAGACACAATATTAAATCCATGCAAAATAGATGAAAATTGGGTGTTCAAACAAGTTTGTTCAATTGCATGAATGCATTATTTGGACCAAAAAGAACACCATAGTAATAAATGGGATAAATATAAGCATCCTGATTTTGTCTAATTCCATATCTAAAATTGCAGCCTCTCATTATTTGAGCTGAAATATTTCCTCAATAATCCATTTCTTAACATCCAATTGTATTGACTTCTGATTGGAATATGATCAAGGAATTCATTTCAGGTATCTGATTTGATCCTTGACCACTGTGGGCCCCGGGGCCAAACGGAAAGCCTTCCATTTCCAAAGTTTGTGCTCCAAATTTGGATTTACATTTACAGAATCCACATTAAAATCATCCAACTGACCAGAAATGTAGAACAAATAATTAAGACAGTAATACCTAATCAAGTTCAGTAACTTTTCATTTACTAATGACATGCAACTAAAGCAATATTATATTTTACTCAGTTTACTTGATTCATGTATCTATTACAAGTAGAACCCAATCATTTATGGACTGTTTATCTTTGACATGCAGTGTTCAATAGTGATTGATGGATATGATGATGATGATGATGATGATTGATGATGATTGATGATGATGTTGATTGATGATGATGATCATTAGAAGAGAATGATACAGAAAAAAAACACGCTCATCTTAACTATGCATGATAAGTTTTAAAAAGTAAAGTATAGCAAAGCACAAAAAAAAAAAAAAAAAGAGACATAATATGAAGTTTTATATTGTTTGTCTCACTTTATATATTTCCCCATTTTCATAGCAAAGCACGAAAAAATAGATAAATAAAAAAATAAAATAAATAAATTGAGACATCATGATATGAAGTTTTATATTGTTTGTCCTCTTTTTATATATTTTCCCATTTTCATAGCAAAGCACGAAAAAATAGATAAATAAAAAAATAAAATAAATAAATTGAGACATCATGATATGAAGTTTTATATTGTTTGTCTCACTTTATATATTTCCCCATTTTCATAGCAAAGCACGAAAAAATAGATAAATAAAAAAATAAAATAAATAAATTGAGACATCATGATATGAAGTTTTATATTGTTTGTCTCACTTTATATATTTCCCCATTTTCATAGCAAAGCACGAAAAAATAGATAAATAAAAAAATAAAATAAATAAATTGAGACATCATGATATGAAGTTTTATATTGTTTGTCTCACTTTATATATTTCCCCATTTTCATAGCAAAGCACGAAAAAATAGATAAATAAAAAAATAAAATAAATAAATTGAGACATCATGATATGAAGTTTTATATTGTTTGTCTCACTTTATATATTTCCCCATTTTCATAGCAAAGCACGAAAAAATAGATAAATAAAAAAATAAAATAAATAAATTGAGACATCATGATATGAAGTTTTATATTGTTTGTCTCACTTTATATATTTCCCCATTTTCATAGCAAAGCACGAAAAAATAGATAAATAAAAAAATAAAATAAATAAATTGAGACATCATGATATGAAGTTTTATATTGTTTGTCTCACTTTATATATTTCCCCATTTTCATAGCAAAGCACGAAAAAATAGATAAATAAAAAAATAAAATAAATAAATTGAGACATCATGATATGAAGTTTTATATTGTTTGTCTCACTTTATATATTTCCCCATTTTCATAGCAAAGCACGAAAAAATAGATAAATAAAAAAATAAAATAAATAAATTGAGACATCATGATATGAAGTTTTATATTGTTTGTCTCACTTTATATATTTCCCCATTTTCATAGCAAAGCACGAAAAAATAGATAAATAAAAAAATAAAATAAATAAATTGAGACATCATGATATGAAGTTTTATATTGTTTGTCTCACTTTATATATTTCCCCATTTTCATAGCAAAGCACGAAAAAATAGATAAATAAAAAAATAAAATAAATAAATTGAGACATCATGATATGAAGTTTTATATTGTTTGTCTCACTTTATATATTTCCCCATTTTCATAGCAAAGCACGAAAAAATAGATAAATAAAAAAATAAAATAAATAAATTGAGACATCATGATATGAAGTTTTATATTGTTTGTCTCACTTTATATATTTCCCCATTTTCATAGCAAAGCACGAAAAAATAGATAAATAAAAAAATAAAATAAATAAATTGAGACATCATGATATGAAGTTTTATATTGTTTGTCTCACTTTATATATTTCCCCATTTTCATAGCAAAGCACGAAAAAATAGATAAATAAAAAAATAAAATAAATAAATTGAGACATCATGATATGAAGTTTTATATTGTTTGTCTCACTTTATATATTTCCCCATTTTCATAGCAAAGCACGAAAAAATAGATAAATAAAAAAATAAAATAAATAAATTGAGACATCATGATATGAAGTTTTATATTGTTTGTCTCACTTTATATATTTCCCCATTTTCATAGCAAAGCACGAAAAAATAGATAAATAAAAAAATAAAATAAATAAATTGAGACATCATGATATGAAGTTTTATATTGTTTGTCTCACTTTATATATTTCCCCATTTTCATAGCAAAGCACGAAAAAATAGATAAATAAAAAAATAAAATAAATAAATTGAGACATCATGATATGAAGTTTTATATTGTTTGTCCCTTTTTATATATTTTCCCATTTTCAGCAATTAGCCTAAATTTCACATGTCACTATATATTTATATGCATTACTGAAAGTGACATTAATCACTGTTCATACAAAAAACATGAGTTATACTGTACAGATTTTTGAGAGGAGTGTCTGGCTTGCATTTCTCCAAACTCATTAACCCACTGCCGCCGGGGATGGCATGTACGTACATGCCATGCCCACTGTGAGTCGACTTGTTCGATTGTATTTACACATAGATGGCTCTACAAGTTCTTAATCAGCAAAGAGCCAGTTATTAGAACTACCTATCTCACCTGTTTACTCCTTTCTTTCACTTTAAGGAAGGGTCTTTTGTATCATTTTGTTGTCTAAAATATTCTAATGACAATTTCATAATCATAACATGAATAACAACAATAACAGTATCGATAGCAATGGTATTAATAAGAATAATCATGACATGAATAACAATAATGACAGTATCGATAGCAATGGTATTAATAAGAAAAACACATTTTCCCACCAATTCAAGGAATTGGGAAATCAGGATCGGTAACTAGAGTCCACTCCTTGCCAGCTGAGCACATGTGGAGCCATCTGTATGTAACAAAATTCACCAAAAACAACAGGGGGTAGAACATAAATCCAGGGCAAATGGATTGACATTTGACCCATGCCTGAAATGAATTCTTTGCAATCACATTCCTATTAATAATCAATATACTTTAATACTGTGAGCGATATTTGAGGAAATATTTCATAGCTCATAGTGAATATGGAAATACGCAAATTCAAGATGGCCGAGACTGTCCCATTTATTACTATAGTGTTCCTTCTGTTCAACTGACACATTCATGCAACAGAACAAACAAAAATTTGTTTGAACTCCAAAATTGAAAAAAAAACAAAAAAAAACATGGAAAAATGTACCCTCCAAAAGGGTAAAAAAGTGAATTACACAAATTCAAAATGTCCAAATTTGTTTCATTTTGGATATGTTCTACATAAGGGCCCATATAATATATTAATGCAATTAAACAAATTATTGCAATTTGTTTGGCTAAAACACTTCCAGGAAGATGTGGATTTGCTATTCGAAGTGTAATGCTCTCTTTAGGGAAGACAGTTGGCTGTTAGAGCTGAAATCTCTAAGACATGATCCATTTTCATCTAAATAGATCTTTAACTACAGTGAGTCCAACAAGGGGAGTGCATGTCTTCCACCACAAAGCACCTCTAGAGTGTGTAGCTGATATCTCCAGTAGTTCATTACTTTGCTGTTGTTCACATCCTTTGTTTAACAGATTAACCCCTAATGGTGACTTCTGGTAACTGTCCTGCTGTTTGGCCAAGGAGTCAGCTACATGTAGCAGAACTTCCTGTTTGACTTGCTCTAGTGCATTGTGACACCTATAGCCATACACGTCATGATGAGTTGGTTTGTTATGACAGCTATAGACAAGGCCCGGCACTAGGAGGTTAATCATAATCTTTCTAAAGGAGTTATGTGAGTCTACTACAACTATTAAACAACAGATAACTATGTAAAAGTATTACAACAACACCCAAAAATATCCCCCAAAAGCAGAAATAGCAGAAAGTCCTCCTAAAGCCATTAAATAATCAAACCTAAAAATAGGAAAGAGATGAATTTTAAAGGCAAAAATTTAAACATAATAATTGTCCTCCATGAGAGAGTCTATATGTATGGTAACTGATGCAATATATATCATATAATAATTTATGATACATATAAACTGACTTACTTGTAAAACTTTCTTTTTCTCATCCCTCATCTTTTTAACATTACTGATAACAGCATCTCTCCGCTGTTCTATAATGTCAATAATGGCCTGGAAAGCTCTGTTGACATCTTCAAAGGTGTTGTCAACAGCATGATCCAGCTGGTGCATCTCTGATGTCACTGCATCACTGGCTTCATTTAACTGTTAAGTATGAACAAACTCAACATTAGACTAAATTCCAAACATATTATTTTGCTTCTTTTTTTTCTTTGTAAAAAAAATATACCACACTAATAAATAATATGAAATTTAAGCAAATTCTCAACAACTTTTTCACTATTTCCATATACTTACATGAAAAAATAAACACCAGTGGCTTCATTCCCTTCAAGATTATGTGGATTTACTAATAGCATATGAAAAGTAACAACCAAAAACATGCAACTATCTGTTAATCAATCAACATTGAATCTACATGAACAAAACAGTAAAAAGAAAAAAAGAAAAAAAGGGGGCTGGAGTCAGAATCAGAAGGAATTCAGAATGGTATACTCATCACAGAAAAAAAAAACAGTCAATTTTTTAAGACCGATCATCTGTTCCCTAAGATTTTAAATACTTCTTGAAATGAAATTACTCACTCCATCCAGATTTGTTCAGAGAACATATGAATGATGAAAGTTCAGATCTGTCACAGATATTGCTTATTATCCAAAAATAATACAATAGAAACAAGGGCAAAATTTCTCTGATAAATTACAACTTTACCATTTACACAAATTTCACAAACTAGCAGTTATTTTTCTTTTATATATGCTAAGAATTTATTTCCAATCTTATTACTGGAATACAAAAACCTGTTCCCTAAGCAAGTCTCAAAACATTATTTTCACCTACCTTCGAATAACATTCATTTGCTTTGTAACAGAGGATCTCCGACATTCTTTTGATGGCAATAGAAAGTGGAATAACAGTATGTTGGTAACTTGCTGCACTTCCCTGGTGGGAGCCATTACTACATTGAGTACAGAAGACAAGGTCACAAGACTCACAGAATAACAGCTCCTATAAAAAGAAGAATTTATATTAAGTACAAAAAAAAAAAAAAAAAAAAAAAAAAAAATAGTTGCCATTTTTCACAACCTACACTCTCTGGAGTTTAATATTCCAAATCTAGCATGAAATCTCATTTGCCTACCTGATTGGCATGTGTAGAACATTTAGGTATAACTTCTCTTCTTTGTCTTGACATGAGATCTAAGAGTTGGTTAACCAGGAACGATGGTGGCAGAGCAGCCACTCCACCAGAGGGGATTCGTATAGATTCCCGGCATATTGGGCAGCGAAATGTGCCATCGTCCCTGGCATGGGAGGCTACAATTCCTGTGAGACAGTGAAGGCACACTGTGTGCGAGCAGTGAAGCAGCTTTGGGGTGTGTTCTCCTCCATCGAAGGAACCTGTCCATAATTTGACTATATTGACACGTGTTGAAGTGCTGTACCAAAGCAATGGAATGGGTGCAAGTTCTTTCCTAGTTAACCCATCACTGCCGGGTAACAGAAATCCCTGAGCATGATAAACTCTAGTGATTTCTGGCAACGGCCAGACACTGGGTGCAGAAGTCCACCACATCAAGTAGAACTTTCCACTCCATGTGCTCTGGCACGTCACAACGCGTACAGGCATAC